GTGATAGGGGAGGAGGGGAGGGAGAGGGAACTGGGATTGACATGTAAAACAATCTTGTTTCTAATTCAAATAAAAAAATCTGCAAAAAAAAAATATGTCTAGATCCTCAAAAATAAGATTTTTTTTTTTTTTTTTTTTGTACTACTGGGACTCAAATAAGGACTTGCACACTCTAAAAATATCCTAGCCCTAAAAGAATATTTTTAATTAAAAAAAAAAAAAGAAAGAAAGAAACCCACAAACCAACTCTGGGCTGGGCACAGGGGCACACACCTTTAATCCCCACACTCCAGAGAAAAAGAGGCAGGCAATTTCTATGAGTTCAAGAGACTGAGTTCCAGGCCAGCCAAGGCTACACACCAGTTCTAGGATAGCCAAGGCCACACATAGAGATCCTGACTCAACAAATAAACAAACAAACAAAACAAAATCTGCACACCTAAGTGCCTGTACATACTAATACCAAGAAGTGGAGAAGCACTTGTACCAAGCTTCTCTGGAAACTTAAAGACAAACTACCACTTTTGTACTGGTTTCTTTGGAGCAATTCCGGTTCTAAAAGCTGGAATACATTAACAGCTAAAGGAATTAAGCTGATCTTAATTTTTTTTTCATCTTACAAGCTTAGAAAGGCAAAAGACAAAAAAACAATTAAAACAATTACCACTTTAGATTCTTCACTGTTAATTAAGAATTCTGAAATAACTTCAGTTCCAATCATTTCAGGTTCACCTGTAACCTAAAGAACAAATTGTATTTTTTTAAATATACACACCAATGAGTAAAATAACAAATCATTAGCATCTTACTGGCCATATTTACAAAGAGTAACATCAACTGAAGTTAGCCTCTCTAGATTAAGCTCTGTGCAACGTGTTTTCCATCCCCACAGTAGAGCCTATCTACGGAAGGCACTTGATGTATATTTTTCATTTTGTTCAGCCTGACTCAACTAAAGTGAATAAGTGATCTATTCAAATTATGCAATCATCATGAGAACAAGACCCCAAAAGAAGTTCAACTGCTCACAGTTAACAGTGGCCAAAATAACTACTTAAAAGCTATGCACAAAAATACCATAGGACATGTGATTTGGCTTGCCAAACACACCATCGGTCATAGGTTTGATCCAAAATTCTACCGCAATTTAAATTTAAAAATGCACATAGAATGATTGTGATAGTCAACATGGAAACCTTCAAACCAACTAGTAAATGACAGTAAAAGTCTATGAATCATCCATAACAGTTTACACAAAAATGAAACATTAGACATTTTAACACTAGAAAACATGTATCACGAAACATAAATGAACAAAGCAACATGAATAGAAGAAGGAAATAGAAAGCATGAGCAAAAAACATACAAATGAAAACTCAATGCAGTAACAGCAAAATGTTACTGTAGTTGTTTCTAAATAGCAGTAAGGTAGTTTTAAGATTATATTTTCTTGTATTCTTTCATTTCAAGAGTAAGCACATGTGGACTTTATAACTAAGTAGAAAAAGGAGTAAAACAGCAAGAGAATGTAAGGCTGTAGCTGAGACACACACATCACAGATACCTTCTAGTAACTTACTTGTTCTCTAACTTCAATGTCTTTCCCATTGACATCTTTAGGCTGAAACTTCCAGAGCAATGACAAATCGGACAGCAAAAGTGGAACTTTCAGAGGGTTTCTAAAAGCCACTTCCACTGTAATTGGCTCTACAAAAGAAAAGGCTACATTTAATAACTTTCATAAACCTGACACTGTCTCTCAACACACCTTCTGTGTTTTTTGCCTAGACTGTCTTTTGCTACCTTATACATCTCAGTTTGGAAAGAAATGACTTGGGTGTCCCTAATGAAACTCTCTTGGTACTCCAGCACCACAAGAATATTAGAGCCCCACCACTAGCTTACAAATGCAGCTCAGTACATAGGGAGTTATCTTTGTGCCCATGGCCTCCAGTAATGTGGCAGATCACAAACTATCTGTAACTTGCTCCAAGTAAACAAAAAGTTATGAATATACAACTCAAGTATTGGGCTGGAGAGTTGGTTCAGTGGATAAGATCACTTGCTGGTCTTGCAGAGAAAAAAAAGGCAGCTTCCAACCTTCTCTAACTACAATTCCAGGAGATCCATAATCTCCCTCTACCCTCCTCCAGGAGCACTTAGCATGCATGTGGGGCATATACACACATGTAGGCAAAGCATTCATACATGAAATATTTTTAAATTCAATTATACCACCTTCCACAACTGCAAGTGGGAATCTGGAGTTATCGGAGTAACTGTTCAAACAATACTGTGTGGGGTAGAAACTGGATGGAATTACTCCTTTATTAGCCACAGCCACAACATGCTCCTCAAGTTCTCGCCACTGCTGTGATGACTCAGAGTCATATTCTTGATCAAGACTTATATGAGTAGCTGCTTGTTTTTCCCCTTTAAAAAGAAAGAAAGCAAATTGTACATTTAAATACCTATTCATGAACATCTGCCTCATATAAAACATTTCAAGTAAGAACCAGATGTATCCATATAAATACACATACACATACACGCATCCTTGCCCAATTACTAATTCTCTGATTCACAAATATCTACTCGTTCTAACCTAACCGCAACTTTGCTTCTAATATTGACATTTTTTCTTCCTGGCTCTGAAATATTATTATTTTCCCTAACTTCCACAATTTTTACATAAAATATTCAACATACAGAAAAATAAAGCACTGCCTATAGATGAAAATTTTGTTTTTGATTCAGCAGCTCATGTAGCTCAGGCTAGCCTTGAACAAGCTATGTAACTTAAACATGGCGTGAAACACATCTTTCTGTCTCTACCTCCCAAGTTATAGGATCAAAGGTATAGACTCCTGGCTTGTATCTTTATTTGTTCTTATTTTATTTTTTGTTTTTGAGACAAGGTTTCTCTGTGTAGTTCTGGATGTCCTGGAACTCACTTAGTAGACTAGGCTGGCCCCGAACTCAGCTCCGTCTACCTCTGCCTCCAGAGAGCTAGGATTAAAAGCACATGCCACCACCACACAGCTTTTCATGTATATTTGTCTGCGTAACACTATGTGCCTGGTGCCCATGGAGGCAAGAAGATTTGGGAACCCCAAGAACTGGGCATACAAAGGTTGTGAGCTGCCATATGGATTCTGGGACTCAAACCCGGGTCCTCTGGAAAAGCAGCCAGTGATCTTAATCACTGGGCTATTTTTCCATCCCCATTGCTTATATCTTAACATTTTTTTTAAAATTACATTTATTTGTTTGTTTGTTTACGTGGGGGATGCATGCTTGGCACAAATGTGGAGATCAGAGGACAACTTCTGGGCATTAGCTCTCTCCTCCCACCATGTGGCTCTATAGGACTAAACTCAGGTCGTCAGGCACTGGAGCAAAGACCATTCATTACCTCTTGAGCAATCATGACAAACTCATATCTTAAAAAATTTTTAAGTCACCTTTCATCTCATCAGCCTGATTTTTATTTTATTTTTTTTACAAAAAGAGCATTATAACCAGTCAATGCCCTCTCTGCACTCCTCCCAATCCTAACAAACCCATCAGCTCTACTGGTATCACTTCTCTTGGTGCTTAAAGTGTATCACTTTCAGACATGTTAAGTTAAATATGTAGAATTAGTTCATTCAAGATCTATAGCATATATTCCTTATGTAAATATATCAAAATATTTTTGATATAAAGAAAACTCATGATGTAAAGTTGAAGGAGAAACACACTGAGTTGAAATGTCAAGGTACTTATGATGACAAAGTTCAGCATAAGAACAACAATAAAACCAACCTTTAGTCTAATATAGAATGCCCTTTCAGGCCTCAACCCTGAGGAAAAGATCCTGTATTTATTTAAAAGGCATGGTGATGTAGCTTAGTTGGAGGGTGTTTGCCTAGCACATACAAAGCCCTAAATTTGATGCCCAGAAACACAAAGTTAAGCATGGTGACACATGACCTGTAATCCCAACACTTAGGAGGAGGCAAGAGGATAGGCTCAAGGCCATCTTACAGTACAAAGTAAGTCTGAGGCTAGCCTG